TCTTCTTTGTGGGAAGGTCAAAGTAGTACTTTACAAAATCCAAAGGACATAAAATATTACTAATGCACACATGTGTTTAGAGAGGACTACAAGATAAAACTACTAGGCATACACACAGAAGCCTTCCATAATTTGTACCATACTTACTTTTTTAGGGTCATTACCCATCTCCCCTCTCCTCCCACTAGCGTGTATTCAGTCTTCATTGCCTCTATGCCTTTGCACATGCTGTTCCTTCTTGTCCTTTCTCACCTTCTCTGATGGAAAACTCATTCATCCTTGAGAATACTTAAGCTTCTCAGGAAAACAGCTTGCAACAACTACAGGGAAATTAGTCACTTCTTCCTCTGTGCTTTTTATAAGCCTCTGTTAATATGGCTATTATAATGCCTATTATATTATATTCCAATTTATATGTCAAATTTCAGGGCAAGGACCATGTCTCAATTATTTAGTGATTAACACAGCCTCCAGCAGATACCTAGTATATACTCAATGCACTTTTTGAATGAATAAGCTTTGTCTGTTTTCTTTATTTTTCTGTAAAACTAGTTTAATAATGTGGTTATCTTCAATATGGCAGTTTATTCTTAAATAATTGTAATAATAAGAAGAGAGTGAAAACAGTGTGCATTACTCTTGGAAGGCTGTCAATTATACCGAACTTACCCAAAGAAGTGGGAAAAATCTCCAAATTAAAATGTTAAACATGGCTTTATAATAACAATCCAAAAATGTGTTTATAAAACCACTTATTTTTCCAGTTCTTCTACTTCTTAACAGAGCATAACAAAAAATGGTACACAAACATCATGTTTAGACTTTGCATCAGAAGAGGTCTTTTAAAGGATCAAAACAATAGATTTTTTTTTTTTTAGTCCAAAGGGACCTCTTGGTTATCTAGTTCAGCTCTCTGCTCTGTATGAATCTCTATGATATCTCTGATAGATGCTCACCCCGCTTCTACTTGAACACTTCCAGTGATTGGGAACTCACTACTTAGGAAGGTAATTGATTCTTTATTTTGACAATTACGATATCCAAGTTGAGCCCAAATCTGCCTCCCTGTAATCTTTAGCCATTGGACTCAGTCCTTCCTTTTTTTTTTTTTTTTTTTTTTTTTTTTTTTTCCGTGACTGTTCTGGCCTCTCCCATTGCGGAGCACAGGCTCCTGACGCGCAGGCTCAGCGGCCATGGCTCACCGGCCCAGCCCCCC